ATCCATTGTCTTGACTCTTAAATAAAACACATCTTCTAGTGACAGTTCTCAGCATGTGGAGGTGTTCCTAGCATCCTCTCTCCAGTTTCAAGAGGAGAGGCTGGGTGAAGAGAAAAAAGAGGCACAAAATTCCAGCTATAGTGTAAATTAGTCATGGGGAGGAAAGTACAGCACAGGGAATATAGTCAGTAATATTATAAGATCCTTATATGCCGACAGATAGTAACTAAGCTTAATGGGGTGAGCATTTAACACTGTAGATAACTGTCAAGTCACTCTACTGTATACCTAAAACCAATACAATACTGTATATCAACTAAAAAAAAGAAAAAGAGGGAGGCAAGGGTGAGAGGCCCACCAAAGGCCACGAGAGACAGGAGGTAGAAGAAGCCCCTGAGTGCTTAGAGAGCAGGCCTGACTGCAGAGGATGTTTATCCACAGGGGGGCCATGGGCTTTCCTCCCAGGTAGACAGCCTCAGTCCTTGGGAGGAAAGGGTAACAGGCAAAGCTGAGGAAACAACCAGAGTACCAAGTCCGAAGGGCAAGGCAAGCATGGAAATGATAGAACAAAGAACAGGAATAGATTCTGGAGCACAGGTAGCCAGGGTGAGAAGCGGGCCAAGAAACAGCTGATAACTAAAGTGAGGGCTGGCATGCTGTGAGCCAGCCCGGACTGGAAGCGGCCGTTTGTTAGATGCCTGCCACTCACTTGGGGGAAAGCATAAGGTTTAAATTGACGGAGAGTCAAGGCAATGGATTAGCACTAAATATCATGTGTAAAAGTATAAACATGTAAGATACAGATGCTACACGTTTCTGCTTATTAACAAGTCACCAAAAAAACTGCTCTGGAAAAAAAGCGAAATTATTAAATATATGTAAAGTAAAATAAAGACACAAACAAAAACAGTGTCACCAGGATGTGACCTGAAGTGACCTTTCCCAAGGTATGCCCTGTGGCCTCATTCCAAGGGCTGTAACAGTTTAGATGTGTCACGTGGTTGTGCTACAAACTCTCTCCTCCTCTCCTGAGGTTCAGTTTGTTAAAGGCTCTCAGATGTCCTGTAGGAAAAGGTCCTGCTTGACTTTGTTTAGCCCAATATTTTCCATAGTTTATAGTTAATTTTATAGTTCCTTTTTTTCAAAATGTACTTTGTAAATACTTTGTAAAAAGCCACACAAATGAGTTGCTTTGATCAAAATCTCTTAATTATATAAAACCATAAGCAAACAGAAATGACAAAGTAAGGAAAAGAGACAAAAACCTGAAAAAAGAAGGGGCAGAAGACATGAACAAAGAACACAGACATAGATAAAATGCACATGGTTTATGCATATATATTACAAATATGGCCTTATGCATATCAGGAGACAGTCAGTGCCACTCATAAGGCTCATATGAGAGCAATGGCAGATCAAAACTTCTTGGGATACCGCCTCATCCTGGCTGGGAAAGCATTAAAAGCTTGACAGCCCGTTCCTGTGCTGTGGCTGCAGAGAAGCCAGCACTCCCATGCACTGCTGGTTAGATCACAGAAGGCTGAAAGCCTTGGGGAGGAGAAGATTTGTTAATAACTAACACAACCAAGTAGGCATTTACCATTCATTCCAGGAATCTCACTTCTAGGAATTTACCTGGAAGATACATCTCTAAGAATACAAAAATAGATAGCCCAAGGTTATTCACTGCAGCATTAATTGCAATAATCACAAAATAATGCGGACATGCCCAAAGATAGCAGACTGGTGAAATAAATGATAGTCTGTCCACATGGTAGATTATTATGCCACAGGTGTAAAAAAGAATGAGGAAGCTCTCTGTGAACTGGTATGAGTGATTGGCAGGATATACTTTAATTTGAAAAAGTTGAAGTACAGAAGAGTCATTGTGGTATGCTACTTTTTGCATTAGAAAAAAGAGGAATAAAAAACAAGACAATATTTGCTTATTTTTTGCAAAAAGAGATATGGAAAGGAGATACCACAACTAATAAAACTGACCTGGAGAGGGGTGGCTGGGCTGGCATGGAAGTGATGAGGGGGTGGGAACAGACTGGAAGGGATGGAGAGTGTAATTCTTACCTGAATATGACTTCCTGTGTATTTCAAAAAAAAAAAGTAGTTTTGACTCTTGAACTATTAAATGTTTTACATATCAAACAACAAAAGTAATAAAAATCAACCAGAATGGAGGGAAAAAACTAAAACATAATACAAACAGAAGCAGATAACTATGTTTCAAATGAATAATACACCCACACTGAGAGTGGGGGCAGGGGGAACTAACCCAAGTAAATTTTGAACATAGTATTTTTACTGTAGAATAAAAAGAGTGCATAAATTCTCTCTAGAATAAAGAGAACCCTAGAAATAGGTTTGGGGTTTTCTCTTGTTTGTTTTGTTGTCTTTTGTTTGCTCAGCAATTTTGAAACTACTTTTGACATGTTCTATAGTTCAGAAAATATGTAAACATATTGAAGATAATGGAAGTTAGAAGGGAGTTTCAAATATGGAAAGTTGAGAATGAATCTGTGGTATTGATTAGTATTGGAGAAATCAGTATGAGCCCAGGGTTATAGGTCAAGGATCATCAAACTGTTCCTTTAAAGGGCTAGGTAACAAATACTTAACTCTATCATTGTAACACAAAAGCAGCCATAGACAGTACATAAGCAAGTGAATGTGGCTATATTCCATTAAAAGTTTATTTATGGTCACTGAAACTTGAATTTTATACCATTATCACGTGTCATGAAACATTATTTTAATCTTTTCAACCATTTAAAAATGCAGAAGCCACTCTTGGTTTGCAGGCTGTACAAAAACACGCAGTGGGCCAGGTTTTACCCTTGGGCCATGGTTTGCCAACCCTTTTTAGACAGAAAAACGATGATAGATGACAACGACTGACAGATTTTTAAAAATGATAGATGATAGCAAGCAAATGTGATAGTGTTTAAATTGGGGAATCTAGGTAAAGGATCTAAAAGAGTTCTTATTTTCTCTTGCACCTTTGCTGTAAATCTCAAAATTTTTTGAAGCAACAACAAAAAAAATCACGAAGAACCCTGTGCCCTCCATAGAAGGGCATTAATGAATCATCGGCCTGAGAAGTGGATGTCTACCACATTCACACAACAGACCCCATCACATTTTCCCCACATCCGTGGGCCCTGTTAGGAGCTGCAAGTGCCATTGTGTAGAGTTTGTCATCTGTCCCTGGGAGTGCCACACGATAACATTACTTTTCACCTGCTCTTACAGAGTGATTGATGAGGCCACTGGGCTGGCAATTTGTATATGACCTTGTAATTTTCTGTAATGTAGGAATTTTTTTGTCTGATACAATTAAATGGACTAAATAAAAGGTGCTTATCAGAAAATGCCCTATTAGCTTGCAAGTCTGTGATGAATTCCATCTGATGTCCTTAATGTGTTGCTATGAATTTCAATTACACAGCACGCTCATAATGCTTATTTCACTAGCCGTAATCTACTGATAGCTAAGGTGGGCAGTGACTGAAAGTCTCTTAGAACACTAACAAATAGGAATGGGGTGGTTTTTACATTACGATACTTTTTATACAGAAAGAGTGAATGGCTTTCAAAGAAAACCTCTACTGTGTGGACTTGTAATCATTCTACCATCCTTTACTGGTTAAATTCCAGCAGAATCCAGTTCCCAACTTGGTTTATTATTGTAGGTAAAGCCACACTATGATCTTCATTGATAATGAAGGTGATGGTGGTTATAGCTGAAATTTATTCAGTACAACTCCATACCCAGATCCATGCCAAATGTTTTTCATCCATTTTTTTCCATTTAATCCTAAAACAAAACTGAGGTACTATTATTACCTCGTTTTTTAGATGAGGCTTACAATGTTAAGTGACTTGGCCAGGTTCTTCCCTCCCAAAGCATGGGTTGGATTGGCCTAAAGAGCAGTTGCTCATAGTTACTGGTTGGTCTCCCACTGTAGATAAAGACAGTAGGAAGCACATTTAGGAAGTACATTTACATTACAATACTTATTATACAGGAGTGAATGGCTTACAAGGAAAACCTCTGTTGTGTAGACCTGTAATCATTCTACCGTCCTTCACTGGTTTAATTTCGACAGAATAGTTCCCATCTTGGTTTTTCACAGGATGATAATATCCATGTAAGAAATAGCGTTCATGCTGGAAAACCCTTCACACTGCCTGCACCCTTCCCCTGACGCTTAGTAGCCAGTTTAGAGATGAGAAGGGCTGGAAGCAGAACGCAAAGTGACCTCTGCCCTCTGGACATCACACCCATGCAGGTGTCTCTAGAGGGAGCAGGAAGACTGGAAAAGAAGAGGGAGAACAGAGCTCGGGAAGTGGGTTGGAACTTGGAGGCAGAGGGCACGGAATGGAAGAGGAGCCTTCTGAGTGATGATGCCCGGCATCCTGGGGAGCTGAAGCGCCGCGCCCCCCAGGGCCCAGCTCCCCTCGCTCTCCCTTTCTTTGCCCTCCACTGTCTAGAGCCCCGAGTCACTACTGCATCCTGACTCCCACCACTGCAGCTGGTCTCTGACAGGTCCAAGACCAAGTTCTGTTAGGAGCCACCATGTGGAATGTTGTCCTACATGACATGTGACATGTGACTCGGTCGGGTTTTCTTACCCAAAGGACATACGGAGCTCTGTCTCTATGCATTCCTTCTGAGTTACTGAAATACTGTTCTTCCATGAGAAGAACTGTACTACAATCTAGTAATAGCAATAATAAACCTGCAAGAGGACCAGTCATCTTTATTTAGTTAATGTATGTATTGAACAACCAGTTAGTTAAGTGACTGACTCTATATTAAACTGATTTACAAAACTGAATATTAATTTCTGGACATACTGTCGTTCTGAAATATGAAGGAGGAAAAGTGTTTCTTTGTGGAAGCCCCAGGGAATTAAAAATCCAGGGGAAAAGTAAAATCTGTATGTGGAATTTCAGACATGTTGTTCATCTTCTTCTCTTTTTAGGGACTGGTTAAATATGCTGAGCCCACCTATTGTTCCTCCCAGTCAGCAGTCAGCAGAGCAGCGTCCAGATTCTTCTGGAAGTTTGAGTGCTCAAGGTAGGAATATGAAAAACACTGTGCATAAAAAAATAAAAATTATTAACCATCAATAGAGAAAATCAGTCACTTTGAGATGTCCCTGTTTTTATTAAATGCTAATCACATGGACTCCCACACCCAAAATGAGGAAACCTGTGCCTCATTTTATAAGATGATACGTTCTTTGCAACTAATACGAATATGAGTTAGAAATTGTCCTTGTTCTTCTAAGGACTAATTTCAGGGCAAAATGCAGTTCAGAATATAAGAGCATGGCTTTGGTGTCAAACTGACCTTCATCTGAATTCTAGCTCTGTTCCAGTTCCTGCTGTGTGACCTTTATGAATTTTGATTACCACACTTGTGAAGTAAGACTAACGATAGTGATCAACTGACAGTTTTTTGTGATGATTGAATGAGACATACTATATACAAAGCACTTAGAATAGTGCCTACCAAATACTAGCTGTTCTTTTTACTATAAAGAAGACTCAATACTCCCACATCACTGATACGTGTGTTCATTAATACAGAGATACAGCCTTTTCATTAAAGCAACAGCTGACACACAGCTACAATAAGTCACGTTAGGAAAAGAAAAATTGGAAGGAAGCAGGATGAAAGATTTCCCATGATTCCTTTTGTTGGTGAGTCATAAAGATGAACCATGGGCTTCTGGTTGTGAGCAGGGAACATGATGGTCAGGAGTGCAGAGGAGGAACCCAGAGGAATCTCTGATGGAAACAGGGTTGAGATGGGAGGGGCAGTGACAAATCACCTCTGCGTGGGGCTCCCGGAGACAGTTTTCTGAGCTGGATTTTGAAGACGGAAGCACTACGTGTGAAGTTAAAAAAGAAATAGAACTGATATAAATTGCTCCAACAAAGGTGCCAGCTCACTTTTTTTTGTTTTACCCTAACTGCCCCAGGGAGAAAGTGGAGCATCCCATTTTTCTTCAGGTGTGGAGAATTCAGAGTGAAAGCTCATACATCTGAGTTGTACATTTGGGCTGCCCAGGGGATGGAGATGTCTCTGTGATTTACTATGTGGAATAGATTATGCCCCTCAAATTGGGAATCTTTTTAAAGGTGTACATTTATAATTACTTATGACAGGAAAATAGAGTCTTGGCTGTCAGGAGGAGACCTTGCTGTGAGGGAACAAATAATCTGTTATGTTAAGCGTCCTAAATAAGCCACTGGAACCAAGAGCATGGTCCTTGAGCAAAGGCGCCCAAGATATATATGTTAGTGAGAAGTGGCTGAAAGGATGCTTTAAAGTCGCCATCACAAAGTGGTGTTTTGACACAGGAGCTCAGTTATGCTGAAGGTAAACAGAACTTCCATTAAGGGCAAATTAACAAATTAAATTCAGAGGATTGTGGAAATGCTCTGGCCAGTGTTAATCAGACCTGGTGCCCCTTCGCCTGTCACCCTACATTTTTATCTGCCCCTTTTCCCTCTTCTGGTCCACTCTGTTGGTTTGTAGCTAAAGATCATTAAAAACTAGTGTTTCCTACTTGGTTAATCTTTACATATTACTGGCTTAGTTTTAGACAGCAGCATAGTCCAAACTTACCAATGTACTAAAATACAGTTCTATAAAATGTCTGCCAAAGAAAAATACTGGGTTCAGGTATCCAGTTTATATCGTCAGAACGAGAGGGAGGCTGGTTCTGGGAAGCCTGGGACTCTTCCTGGGTTTCTGCTGCATACGACCTTAGTTTAGCATTTACCATGTGCCAGGCCCTGTGCTAAGGTGTTACTTCTCACCTTCACAGCAGCACCAAGAGCAAGTACCGTTTCTGTGTGTGTAGTTGCTGTTTTTACAGCCAAAGGAACAGAGGCACAAAGTTCTTGAATAAGTTATGCAAGGTCACACAACTAGTCATGGGCTGAACTGGTGGGACCTGAGTCCAAGCAGCCTGGCCTCAGAGACCAACTACTGTTTTTATGCATTTTTGGTATTGAATCAAGTAAATAGATTACCTGCTCAAAAAATAAAATATATTAAACCAAGAGTTGAAAAATTGATTTTCTATTGTGATTACCTGATGTGTAGGAAAAAGAAATTAACACATCTCAAGGGCTAAGTAACTAAGTTTTTAAAGAAAATAATAAATAAAAGCAGGACTCCTCCCCCAGCCCTGTCACCTGCTTCAGCCCTGGACCTGCCTCTCTCTCCTACCCATGCTTGTCAGTAATAACAAGAGGCCATGTTTCCTCTGAGGGAGTGAATGGCCGAGGGGCACAGTTACTGTGCTGACCAGATCTAGGTCAAGGCCAAGGGAGTGAGCAGCTGACTAAAGGACAGAATCCCTGGATTGCAAGCTGCCAGGCTTGGGTGTTTGCATGTAGCCTCGCTTCTTAGAGGCCTTTCTGGCTGATCTTGTCCAGGTAGGTCAGTGTCTCTCACTTCACCTTGTGCATTTTCTTTGCAGCCTTGTAATTAGTGATTTGTTTACTTGTTTGTTGTCCTTTTTCCTAAGTAACCTGTGAGTTTTTAAGAACAGAGACTCTATCAGTTTGCTCACTGCTGGTTCCCTAGAACCTTATGCAGTTTCTAAGTATGTTAGATACTCTAAATTCTCATTGGAAGGAAGACAGAGCCCCATATATAAAAGATAAAAGCAGAACTGCTCTAGCTAAAGGGGGAATTAGGGTCTCAGTACCCTGCCCTGGGGGGGTCTGATGAATCAGTTAAAAACAATGTAGTCTAACCCTCTCAATTTGACCTTGCCCAAGGTCAAGTGCCTAGTCAGAGCCCAAGCTGGTTAGGAGCCAAGCCTCCTCATTGGTGCCTTTCTGCACAACCATGGAATGGGAGTGTAAAGGTGGCCTTAAAAGCTGGTTCACAGGGAAAGAGGGCCTCCACCTTCAGATTTCTAGGATAAAAATAGTCATAGCTAACATTTATTTCATCATCCTGTGACCCAGGCCTACATGTGCACTTTAATTCTCATATAGCCTACTGTCACGGAGGTTCTGTTATCACCCATTGTACACACGGACACTGGGACGCAGAGCAGGGAAGTGACCTGCTGACCCCGTCTCCATCAGAGATGGAGAGGCCAAGAAACATCTGCGCAGCTATAGGCTTAACTGCACTTTAACGGCAGGGAGATGGCTTAACCAGTATGGAATCCTGGGAAACTTGCCCTAGGCCATACAAAGGTAGGTGCACATGTTACCCTCAAAAACAAAATGCCAGCATTTTAGTGCTGGTGATGCCTGCAGTAGAGGATGAGGGAAAAACCCTGTGTTCTCTGGGGCCCAGGGCGGTCAGTGGAGTCCAGACACTAGCTGGCCTGGCCACCACAGAAACCAGCTACTAGTTCTGCATGTCCCTGGAGGGAGCAAGAAATTGCAGGGCGAGCAGTAGATGGGGACATTTTTTAAAGCTGGGGAAAAGGAAGCCTTTTTACTCTTGATACTGACATAGGTAACTTTTCCACCCTACATTATTTTAATGCTTATTTTAGTAGTTGATGCAAGATTTAGTTTGTGTCTATTTGACTTCATTCTTCCACTGAGGGTCATACTGGAGTGAGCTGCATGTCAGGCAGAAATGGCATTGGGGGCAGAAGAGTAGACCCATTAATATAAACTTATGTAGTAACACTTAACTGTTTTTTGATACATTCCCTCAGTAAATTTAAGCTATTTAAAAATGTAAACCTAGAAGGATTGGAAAGATGGCGGCATGAGTAGGACAGTGGGAATCTTCTCCCAAAAACATATATATTTTTGAAAATACAACAAATACAACTAATCCAAAAAGAGAGACCAGAATACACAGGACAACAGCCAGACTACATCCACACGTGCAAGAGCCCAGCGCCTGGTGAAAGGGGTAAGATACAAGCCGCAGCCCAGCGGGACCCGAGCACCCCA